CCCGGCACAGAATCTAGCCTCAGACAAACGCTCTCAACCCAGCGGGACGAATTACCATATGGCCATCAGTCATCGTCAACCAACCGGCAATGAGAGACCACCCCTGTGAACCTTACGGTGACAACGCCCATCAGAGGAAGGAAGAAGAAAAGAATCAAAGCAACTCAAATTCCTCATCCTCCTCCCCAGCCTCCTCCACTCCCACTCCGGCCCCCCCCACTGGGGTCAACACTGCCAGTCCCGCCCCTCCTTAAAATAGCCCTCGCCTTCCGCCCCTCTTGCCGCAGCTGACGCTTCTCCATGCTCTGGTAGACACAGTGGGCCGCGTGGATGGTCGCCACGGCAGCCAAACCCGTGGTGATGATTTGTTTACCTCTCAGTTTCTTGCCCAACCATTCGTTTACCACCAAGGTGGACGCTGCGTAGAAGTACGGGTACCGAGCCATCGAGCTCTTCCGCGCCAGGCGCTCATCTTCCAGGAGACAACCACAACAACCGCCTACCTAACGCTGACGCCCTTCTTCCTCCCCACTGACGCCACGCCCGCCAACAACACGTCTCGCACCGCGGCCCTGCTCATGCACTTTGAGGTCTACAGCGCCGTCGTCGACCCGCTCGTGCCGCTGCACGTCTATACGGGCGGTCTCCTCCCGCCGGCGCCGCCGGCGCTGCCCCGGTGGGCGGTGGACGCGGCGCTGCGGCGGTTCGGTACTGTGGTGGGCGCCGGCCCGCTGGTGGTGCCTGAGGTGCGGCCCTCTGCCGCTGCTGCAGCGAACGCGGTCCAGATGGCTGTGCCGTCACCGTTGGGGATTTGGGCTTGGCTGCAGCCGAGTGAGATCGAGGCGATTGATGACCTGCGGCATGGTCGGAAGGAGGAGGAGGGTATGACGGGCTCTGTGGAGTGTGAGATTGTGCCTGAGGATGTTGGGATTAGGATTGGGAATGTGAAGGGCGGGGCACCGGTTATGGTGGAGGGGTGGTTGAAGGAGGTTTCCTACTTTGAAGTAGGTAGGGCTTGACGGTACTAGTAGTGGATCTTTCTCGCTTAAGCTTTTTAGATGGGAAGATATTACATTACTGTTACTCGGATAGGTTAGGTAGGTCGGTTCTATTATTCAGTAGGTAGTATAGTTTCAGACTGGTCGCTGGTTTTGCTCGAGGATAACGGGGCCTCTCGATTACTGTTGGCTGGCAACCGCTGTCTATGTGCACGGTTGTCTGCACCTTGCAGTGACACTTCAGCAGCCCCACAGCTGCCTTGCGGGATAACTACCTCCGTATAATAAATCAAGATACCTTCTCCTAGGATTTGAAAATTACTGCTGTGGGGGTCCGTACACTGGGAACAAGGCGCAAAATCATACAACATACCCCGCCCTCTCCCCCTCCCCCTCCCCCTCCCCCCAAACCACACCCTTCCCCTCGTTCCTGTCCTTTGCCAACTTTTCCACCTCTCAGAATTCCAAGACCGCGCGTTCAACTTCCACAATCGACACATAAAAGCCCACTGCTTAGTTACCAGTCTCAACAGGAGCAGCCACCTCCACCGTCACCGTCACAGTCGCCTCAGGTTACTTCTTGTGATTGTCATGCTTCTTGTGGTCGTCGTGCTTCTTATGGTCGTCATGCTTCTTGTGATCGTCATGCTTCTTATGATCGTCATGCTTCTTATGATCGTCATGCTTCTTATGATCATCATGCTTCTTATGATCGTCATGCTTCTTGTGATCATCGTCGTGCTTCTTTTTGTCCTTGTCTTTGTCATCGTCGTCCCGCTGGCGCTTGCCAACAATGGCGGCAGGGAGCTTCACCACCTCATTGTCCTCCAAGGACGGAGTGCGAGGCGATAGCGGCGGGGCGGGCCCGGCCACGGCGGCTCGAGCGGAATGGCCTCCAGCGTCGGGAACGAGACGCTACTCCGGGATCGTGGGCAGTGCCCAGACCAAGGCTGCGAAGGCAGCACCAAGTGCAATGAGCGGGGCCTTCATGTTGGTCGGTTATTATATCGGAAGCAGCACACAAGAGGAACGGGTGATAATTGAGATATTTGCTCGATTTGCAAGAAAACGAGTAAAGTTAGATGGAGGAATGGTTCAAGACATAAACACGAACTTAGAGGAGAAAATAAGATATATATATTTTCTGGTGGAGGTCAAGGCGGGATAGGAAACTCTTGCTTGTTGTGTCGTAATCTCAGTCATGATTCGAGATGGCGTCACTGGGCCGTCACTCAAAGTGCGGAGAGAGCTGGCGAGGAGGGAAGTTCCATGAAGCTTCAGCTCCGTGTATAGCTTACCTGTTATAAGTATAAGGACATTCCTGGCCTGTCTTAACAATGACGTGGATGCTGTTCGTCATGGACTTTGCCTACCGCCCGTCTCGCTCATTAGCGAATAAATCCGCCACTTTAGGGAAGGAAAAACGCTTGAGCGTGCTAGTCTCGGCCGGGCTTGGATGAAAATAGATTGGTTTCGCGGTGAAATCGTGCATGATCCAAAAAGTGGGATAAGCTGGAGAAGCGGTGGGATGCAGCTATGTAATCGCAAGTCTGCTGAACAACAGCCGTCTCACCCACGCTCATTTCCGCTGCTGCAAACGAGCCCCACTATATCGCTCCTACGAATCGATCCATCCAGGGTCTTCGTCGAAACAACCTGCTGACATGATCCATTCTGATTTCTTTCGGGAACGACTTCCTTCCTGCATTACCGACCGCACAAGCTCCCAACATACATGAAGGATCGATGCCCTCCGTGACGATGTCCAAGCCCTTGGGCCAGGGGTCAGAGGCTGCGACCTGAACAGGTGCGGGACGGGACGTGCCGCGTTCGGGCCCGCGCTCTCCAAAGCGGATAGCAGAGAGTGGAAAAGGGATAACTTGCTCCTTGACTGGTCGCCCCACTCGCGGGCCTTGCTGCAGAGAATCAATATCATAAGACCGTATCGCTGATGCTCCCAATATATCTGTGATACGCTAGGTTTACAGATCCTGTTGAATTTACAGGCAGCGTGAATGGCCAGTTCAGGAGTATCAGGTGACACGCAGACAGGATATCAGAGAATGCGCGATGTAGACTATATCAGGGTTTTGATCAGACAATCGAACATCTATAGTTCAATCATTATACTACCAGCTCTACGGCTTCTGCATGCTTTATATAAACTGCAATGGCGTACGTCTCAAGTTACTCTATCCTCATACTCTCTACGCTATATCCTCATACTAAGGTCCTCTGTCTAATTATTACAGCTCAGCAATGGCCCGGCTTCATTTCCTTAGGCACGCAGGTGCCTTCAATACGCTATCGACGAGCAGATGTTTCAAAGCGGCTGAGGGCGGCTTTTTTCCGCCGAGAAGCCCGTTATGGCTAGAAACAAATGGAAAATGAGTAGTTTATTCAGATTGGGTTTGCTGAAATATCACCCACTAGATAACCACCGGTATTAGAGCAGAGGAAGATGGACGAGGTCCAAGTCCTATAAGCTGAGGCGGCTCGGCGAAGAGATACCTCCAGCGACCAGATCCTAGGAGAAGGGGAGGGAATGCCCAAAAGCAATGTGTTGGTTCGGATCAGGTGGTGGCCTTGCGGATCAGCTCTACGGTTAACCTGAAGGGGCAAGCTTGGCACGGCACGAAGAGCATGCCCTAATCAACAAGGGCGCTTTTGAGCGCTAGTGTCCTTTGCCCTCGACGTCTACCGTGACGTCTGTCCGGCCGGCGTGGCCGAGCAAACCAGGTGGACGCCGCCCTTTCTAGCTTCGTCGTCGAGGACAGCAAGCTCGGCATGCTGGACGTAGACGGTAGGGACTCATCGACGCAGTCCTCTCGGACCTCAGGAAGGCCTTCTCAACTACTGCGCGTTCCCACAACCCTCAGCGGCGGCGCTCCTCTCCGCCTCCTCAAGTGATTACTTCTCTCGACAACCCGCCGATCAAACACAAACCACCATCTCTCAAAAACAACCTGGCCAACTTCCCAATTCGCCTCGTCATACGGATCCGCACCCCAGACTCTGATCCCTTCCCCGCCGTCCTCCATGTCATATATGAAATCCACAAGCCCCGACCCAGTACCACCGCCGCCGGCCGTTGCCCAAACCCCACCACTCTCATTCCCATCCTCATTACCGTCACCGCCATCGCCAGCGACACTCAAACCCAGAGTCAGAAACCCAATTAGCCGATCCCGCACCCCCGACCACGGAAGCAGGTCCAGCACGGGATGGTGCGGCACCGTCAGCTGCGTGGGCGTCGGCTGCCAAGGGCGCGGCAGCTGTGACACGGGATGTGGGCCGCTGCCGATTGTGAAGGGCGAGGCGGCGGTCAGGGAGAAGACCGAGGGCATGGCGTTGAGACGCGTGGCGATGCGGGTGAGGGCGCGCAGTAGGGTTAGAGGGGGGACGGCGAGGTGATAACTGTCTCCGGAGAGTGCTGCGGTTGGAGGAGGCGTGGAGGAGATGAGAATGGTGGTGTTGTCGTCGTCGTGGTTGGGTAGGACCATATAAGGAGTGCTGCCGCCGCTGCTAATGTCGTTGTTGGTATTGTTGTAGTTATTGTTGGGTGGGCAGCCGGGGGTGATGGGTATCGAGGCAGGCGAGGAGGTAGAGGTTGGGAAGGGGTTGGGCCTTAGCGATGTATTGAGTGTGCCGCTAGGTGAGGCTAGAGATGAAGGCTCAGCCTCGTCCGCGAAGGCCACAGGAAACGAGGCCAGCAAAGCTGGCTGGTAGTATGTCTCATTCCAGCTAAAGGCTGGGCACTGAAGCGGTGTCTCTTCTACTTGAACGATGTCGGATGAGCCTGCGGCCGCGTTGGAGGGCGGGAACGGGATGGGTAGATCTGAGCCGTCTAGGGGGAGAAACGGAAAGCCAGCCACATCTTGGGCTGCAGCTTCCGTGGTAGTGGCGCCGGTTCCAAACCCCGAATGAGGCGATGTTGCGTGCGAGTGTTCTGATGGGCCCTCGATTTGCGCGACGCTCTCACGCGATTGGGAGCTTCCAAGACGGGCCTCCCTCTTGCGTTGTCCTGGCAAGGTGTCAGTTTCTTTTGGAGTCCTGCGTTATGCTGCGCGCCGGAAAATAGTGCGCTTACGGTACCGGCGCTGGGCTAGCACGTTCAACACACGCTTTCTCTCGGCCGCATCCTCGGCAATATCGGGGACGGTCAGCGTCGGCGGCGGCTTGTGCGCTCTTTGCCGGGTTCGCGGCTGGTCAAGTGGGCTGGACGGCATGTTAGGGCAAGGTGAAAATGCACAAGTCCGAGTCAGTGTTGTATTTTTCTCGGGGGTTTCGGCAAAGGGCCAAAACGGTTCGAGTGGGAAAGACTGAAACATGAAGCCAAGAGTGGCTCCCACGGATCAACTCTCCTCCAGAGACGAGTCATTCGGCCTGCGTGCACACTAATGGCACTGTGCAGCCTAGGCAGTTAATGATAACCTCCACAGAACCTAATGCGTAAGCATAACGCCCGCATTGGAGCAGGGATAATTACGTTCGGGCGACGGAAGAATGGAAAGAAAATCGTCGCCAAGGAGTTCGGAAGCCGGGCTGTTGGCCTTGATATCCAGAAAGCTGACCCACTGATTGACTGGCTGGTTAATTTTCATGGAGGTTTTTGGAGGATGCGGTGCAGAATGTGACGCATAGGATATGGTGATGCAGGATGCAGATGAAGAGCCTGGACGTGCACCCAAAGAGATGTATGTGGGCTTGCTGACTAAGAACAGTGGGGCAAGCCCTCTGGTCAACAATGTTCACTGACTGCAAAGAATTGCCCAGTCTTCCTGACTTCAAAGGGCTCTCGAGAGTTCCTAGCCTAAAATCCAAACAGTGCCTTACACAAACTGGGCCAAACCAGCACAAGGGTCTGATGGGTTTCCGCAGAGCCACGCCTAGCGTAAGGTAAGCAAGATGAGGGGTTCTTACCCTGCTACTCACCTCTGAATGGGCCCAAGATATTCCTCAAATCCGCATTCATCAGCATCGTAGCTTTTTAGCCCAGGAAATAATCCTTCACCTCATGAACTCCACAATAACGTTTGGTCATAAACCAACGATACCACAACTTCACACATTTCGACGTATAAAAGAGCTCACCTAGACGGCCCAACATGCCGGAACTGGAATTGCCAGCTTTTGCAGGCTCTACATATTTGTCAAGATCGATCGTTGCTAGAGCACCCCTCGTCCAACTCCACCTTACGCGCCAGCAATGCCTTCGTACGTGATCACGGGTGTCTCGGGGGTCCTTGGGGTCAGTGCTGAATATTATGACTTACCTAATCAGAGACTCGCAGGTTGATGATGTATTTGTACATTCTAGTTTGAGTTCCTCCGCCAGATATCCCAATACCCCAGCAATACCGTCATCGGTCTGGTTCGTGACAAGGCCAGCACTGAGAAGAAGGTCTCTGAGCAATTGGGGGGCCGCTCCAACATCCACATCTTGCAAGCCGACCTTAGCAACTACGAAGCCATGAAGGTACGTTGCTCTACGCGGGGAGAACTGGCTGTAGAGTCAGGTCGAATGCTAACAAGCAACCGCCTGTAGCGTTCCGTCGGGGAAACCGACGCCATCACCGGAGGAACCCTGGACTACCTGATCGCCAACGCCGGTTATGTGTCGACATGGGATTCCTATGACCCCATCGGAGTGCTGTGCGTTTCCTTTATCCCGTGCAATCCCTGAAGCTTGCTCTGACTCGCGGAATCATTGCAGGGGCAATGACCCAGCGAAACTTGAAGAGGAAATGCTCAGGTGCTTCAAGATCAACGTCGTGGGCAACGTCCATCTCTTCAACATCTTTATGCCGTTGATCCTCAAAGGCCAAGTCAAGAAGGTTGTGGCGATATCCAGCGGTACCTCGGACTTGGACCCGGTCCGACAGCACGACATGGCCGTGTTCTCTGCATATGCGACCAGCAAAGCAGCCCTGAACTTTGTCGTCGCCAAGTTCAGCGCCCAGTACAGGAAGGACGGTGTTCTGTTTATGAGCATCTGTCCGGGCCTGGTAGAAGCCGGCCACTACACGAACCGTAGGAGGGCCCCCTTCCCCAATGTACCCCTCAAGTTAACAGCTGTCTAAACTCTGTCTTCTACAGTGACCCAAGAGCAACAGAGAAAGCTCGAATCCGTGTTTGCGCAGTTCACAGAGTATGCGCCTCATTTCTCTGGTCCAGCGCGCCCGGAAGATGCTGTCCGAGATGTCATTTCGGTCTTGGAGAGGGCCAGCGTTGAGAATGGAGATGGTGGCTCCTTTGTCTCACACCTGGGAAACAAGCAATGGCTGTAGGTCAAGAGGGAGCGCCGACGAGACGTCAATGATGTATACCGACACCTGCCAGATAATTTTAGCTTTCAGCTATCGCGAGTCCAGTCGGCGGTCATCATCTGTCGTGTTGTTGTTGGGCAGCCAACAGTTACATGCTCAAGTAAGCTTAGATCAACCAAATGGTATTGAACAGATTGAGGTATGAAACGAAGCTTGAATTGGAGTCACGATTCCAGAGTGACCACACAAATGAAGGATCAGGATAGTGGGTTAGGGTGTCTCAGAATGTCCCTTTCTTTTCTTCTTGGAACAAAATTGTCCTCTCTAATCCTCCCAGGGGAATTACCCCCTTATATAGAGACAGTGTGCCATGATATGACGTTTATGTCAGGAACTGTGTCATTGTGATGGATCTGTCCTGACTGAGAATTCAATTCAACAGTTGTCTCCGGCGAGAACTGCGACAATGGTATCGCCAATCTTCGCTTCACGCCTACTGAAACTTGACCTGCCTAACCAGCTTCCGTAATCACCTAGCCAGGGACTTTGAATGCATGTAAGGTACCTTTGAAGTTAGGTTTGAATCACAATAAGCTCGGACTTTGGTTCTTCTATCGCAGGCTATTTGATACGGGAAAAGAGCCGTATGCTGGGAAAAGAGGGCAAATGCCATGTATTCGGGGAAAAGTCAGGATGTGGTCTTCTGGTAGTTGCAAGCAGCAACTGCAGTGGTGGGAGATATCCCACCATCCAGAGTGGGGCAGCCTTATCTTATATACATACAAACAACCACCCCACCAATGGTGGGGTATAACACCTAGCCCTAACCCTGCGCGATACCTTTTGGTATCACTATTGATTGTATTTCGTGCGAGTTGTCACGTGTTGGTTGATGGCTTTTACGAAAGAAGAACGGAGCTTAAGCTCGGGCTTCTACGATGCAATCAAGTGAACCTACTAGTATAGCACCTTTCGCTTTTGTGAGATGATAGGAACCAGCGGCTTAGGATCCGCTGGGAGATCATGTACTTTTAGTCTTGATGCGCGCGGGGAATATATTCAATGTCAGTCTGCCATGTATTTTCATTATCGTCAAGTCAACCTCACATGTGTCCCGCCCTGCCACTGCATCGAGCCGCTATGACCGCCAGTTGGGCAGAACTCCATCGAAAAGCGAAACTGCATATATGCACACCGCCCCGTACACGGGTGGCTTGCAATTCAAACCTGGAGTTATTTTTTCAAGTCTTTTGCTTTTCCCATGACTTTCCGGTTTTTCAAGCCGTACGCACAATGCCGAAGCCAGCCAGGGCTTCCCTTTAACCGCATTCATAGCAGTTGCTCTTTCTTTCCCCGTACTCAGTTCGATGCAGCACATCCTGAGATGCTGCTTCCTCCACGTGCGAGCATCAGAGTCCGCAATAGAGCAACCAGAAATCCCGAGGCCAACAATCCCAACAGACATCGCCTGTTAAGATCCCCTGGTCCGGCTTGATCGTCAAAGATGGGCGTTTCGTTACCCGAGGCGAGCCGGATGCCCAGCTGTATTGCCTACCAAAAGCTGCAGGGCCGCGTTCCTGTCCCAGAAGTCATAGGCTGGACCGAGGATATTGGCTAGGGCCTCTTTTACATGGAACCGATCAACGCACCGACGCTCTCTGAGCTCTGGGGCAGCCTGACCGAGCGGGAGAGAAAGGTTCTTTTGCGAAGAGCTAAAGGTGATGGTGCAGGCGTGGAGAGGCCTGAAGCAGGACCTCAAGGACGTTTACGTGGTGAGTGGCCCAGATCGGGAATCCAGCTCAGCTGCAATGTAACGTCGCTGACCTAACCCCCTCTCCCTGCCACTAAAAGCTGTTGGCACGGGGGGTTAACGATATCATCGTCAGAGACAGAAGCAACCTGCGTGGGCCTTGGGCGGGCGGTGGCCTGGTGACGGCCTTCCATGACGCCTGCGATATAGACATTTCGGGCAAGACACCCATGGTATTCACTCACAGAGATTTTGTGCTATGTAACATCCTCGTCGCGCTCGGACCAAGATCCTAGGGTCGCTGCTGCCATTGATTGGGGACAGACCGGATGGTATCCGTCGTACTGGAAGTGGTGCAAAGCGAAATAGGTAGATATAGCATCCGACTGAGGCATGGACGACGCTGCTTGGAGACAATGGCAAGAGCGATACCTGTCACGGCGGGACAGGCACACAATCCAATGACAATTGTATTCGGCTAAACTACAGTCTAAGCTCTATTCCGTCAGGTACGGGCAGGCTTGATTGTCAAGACGTAGCTCGAGGAGCTACGAACAGATCTCGCGGCAGCGAGGTGCAGAATATGTAACCCACAGGGGCCCGTGCTTTCCACATGCCGGGTTCCACCCGTGGGTCCTAGCAGGCACGGCGCAATCGCCGTGACAATACCTCCCAGCCATCCCAGACTCGCTGCCCGACATCAGCATTTATTACCCCTGGCTGCGCTTCGCACTTGCGAATATCTAAGCGCCGACTGCCAGGACGAGCTTGTTTGCGGTTGTCACACAAGTACCTTCCCAGTGTCAGTCTGTGTTGTTCCATTAGGTCCCCTAACTCATGATTTCATGTTGACTTTCAAGTGAGTCTGCGTGTAACCCATGCGGAGACTCGATCGGAACAGTGGTAACATATATATTATCATTCCGTCGATATGGGTTTTTCACCCGGCCCACGAGGGCGCGGTTTTCCTGTATAGTAAGTTGTTGAAGGTCCGGCAAGCCCAAGGGCACAGCGGTGTAGGAATAATATTATAGCACACTTGTCTTTATCAACAGGCATTGTCGGCACCATGGGAAGCCGCGTCCATGTGTAGGACTTTATGACCGTTCGGTGACTCTAGCGAAGTGAAATTTCAGGGAAGGAGCAGCACACCGTTTGATCTCAAGGACCTTGACTGTAGGTACCCCCCCATTCAGGGGGTTAGTGCGATACAGAAAATGTATGTGAAAATTATCCTCCCAACTACCCATTTTATCAGATCGGCTTCGCATCGCCCTCGAAGATGGCAGTGCAATGAAAGCGCGAGGCAACATCGGGCAACGGTTACCTTGTTTTCGGAGTCAATCCCACGCGGAGGCCTCCGCAGATGCTTTTCCGGCCCTCCGGGACTTACTCCGCACAGGACAACCCCAAGGGAACGACCGCACTAACGGTTGACACGCTTTGCACCACGCATCTGCCGATGTCACAAGCGATGAGACAAAATCAGATCCATCGTGTGGGATCTCCCTGGGTGAGCCTCTTTATTTCGTCACCTACCACCGACTTCCGCCTCGACTTCCCCCAGGTTCTCGATTTTGCGAACTCAACACTATAAATACTATCTCCGTTAATACGGCCGCATTGAACCCTCTAGGACAGCCAAACCTCGCTTGGCCTATTGAATCCTGATACCGGCATGGAGCAGGAATTCGCCGAGCTCAAGAAGCAGGTGCAAGCTCTCCAGAAGGAGCTGGCACGAGTATCTGGCATGTGGCAGCTCAGCCGAGCTCCATCTAATTAGAGGCTTCTCTAACTCTCGAACCAGACGAGGCTGAGGTCCGCAAGACGCATCATAAATACGGTTACTACCTCGATAAGTGCCTTTACAATGAGGTGAGAAACTCGGTATGGAATTTGCTCGAATCACTTTCTGACGCACTTGTGCCAGGTTGTCGATATGTTCTCGGACCACCCCGACGCCTACGTCGAGTTCCTCGGCTCGCGTTACCGTGGGAAGGAGGGCATCAAACGTCTCTACCAGGGCCGCTTCCAATCCACGTTTGTCAAGGGCCGCAACGGCCCTGTGTACGGCTGGCTGCTGGACCACATCATGATGCAGGATATTGTCGACGTCGACGAGACAGGGACGCACGCCTGGTGCCGCATGCGCGCCCTCATGCAGGCCGGCACCCACCAGAGCATCGAGGAGTACTACCCGCGCGGCCACCGGCAGTGGTGGGAGGGCGGACTGTACGAGAACGAGTACATCAAGGAAAACGGCGTGTGGAAGCTCTTCCGCTACCGCTATTTCCCCTTCTGGCACGCCGAGTTCGAGAAGGGATGGAGCCACACCAAAAAGAACTACGTGCCCTGGCCGACGGTCACGTACCCCGAGGATCCGCTGGGCCCGGATGAGATCTCTGAGCAGAAGATGCTGTGGCCAGACACGCGGGTCGTTCCTTTCCACTACCCGCACCCTGTAACGGGCAAGCCGACGGCGCCGGACGACCTGCGAGCTCCGGCGTACGGCGCCGACGTCAGCACGAGCGATCCGCCGTTGACGCTGACGCTGCCTGAGGGCCAGAGCAGGCCTGGTGCGATCGCCCGAGAGTCAAAGCCAGGGGACAAAGTGCTTCCGGAGTTAGTGCAGAACAAAGCTGAGTAGGGGTTCTTCTTGAGCAAGCGGTCATGAAGGAAAGGACAAGGGCTTGGCGGTAGCGGCCTCACAGACACTGAAGTACTGTATTTAGCGTTAAGCAGCAGTCCTCTGCCCCACTGTACTTAGTCAAGCAACCCACATCTCTTTGCCTACGCTGCAGCTTCCATGTCTTCATCCTGCATCCTGCATCATATTCTTCACCTTTTGCTCTGCATCCTCTATGCAGCTCCATGATTTACCAACAGCTACCAATGTAGTCACTTTCCTCCGGGTTGTCCTCGCAGCCCAAATGCAGCGTGCTGACCATTGTGCACTGAATCAGTGAACTCTCATTCCCTGGCATGACCCAGCCTTAACAGGAACTATTCGTCACCGCTGTGATTCTCGACTCCTGGCTGTCAGTGGCAATGCTGCCGTAATCGCAGTTCCCGGCCGGGCCGTTCCTCGGTCTAGACCCGGAACTCTCCAACCCCAAGCCTGGCCCCTCATCACCCCACTCCACGGTTGACTGCCGAGAGTTGGAGAACACCACGATCTCCACGTTCCCGGCCCCACACCCAGTGCCAGTGACTTCAACAGCCGGCCAGATCACACCCGCAGTGCATCAAGGCTTGCCAATGGGGTGTATTCCATATAGTTTCCACTGCCATGCTCCGGGCCCTTTCCGAATATCCGAATGCCACACTCCCCGGTGACGTTGCTCAACCGGTTCGCGGAGTACCCAGAACCAAATGATGGCTTATCCAGCTCGGTAGATCTTCCGAACAATCACAGCTTCACCTCAAGGAACAGCTATTACGTCCCCATTGCTCCGTCCCGTCGCCCGTCCCCATGAGACAGCCATAACGACTCTCCTGAGCTGTGCCCCCAACCGACCTTCCAGTTCATTACCACCAACCCACCACTCAGTCCTCGTCGACCGCCACCACAATGGCGCACATCCACGACCTCGCCCCCGAAATATCAAACTACACCTCCAACCGCCTGACCGACTCCTCCCGCGTCCGCTTCCCGCGCACCCCGGTCTTCACCTCAATGAACAAGCCCTCGCGCTTCGAAGGCGACGTCTACGACCTCGAGTTCACAGGCACCATCCCGCCAGACATCAACGGCACCTTCTTCCGCGTGCAGCCGGACCACCGCTTTCCCCCTCTTTTCGAAGACGACATCCACTTCAACGGCGACGGGTCAGTCACGGCCATCCGCATCGCCCACGGCCGCGCCGACTTCAAGCAGCGCTACGTCCGCACCGAACGGTACCAGCATGAGACCAGGGCACGGAGGAGCTTGTTTGGGCGGTACCGCAATCCGTGGACGGATAATGAGACTGTCAAGGGGGTCATTCGCACGGCGAGTAATACCAATGTGGTGTTTTGGAGGGGCGTGTTGTTGGCTATGAAGGAGGATGGGCCGCCGTTTGCGATGGATCCCGTCACGCTCGAGACGCTGGGAAGGTATGACTTTGAGGGGCAGATCCTCAGTCCGACGTTTACCGCGCATCCCAAGTTTGACCCGGACACCGGGGAGATGGTGTGCTTTGCGTACGAGGCTGGTGGGGATGGGGCGGATTGTAGTGTTGATGTGGCAGTGTGGACGCTGGACCGGGATGGGAAGATGATTGAGGAGTGCTGGTACAAGGCGCCGTTTGCAGGCATGATTCATGATTGTGGGATTAGTAAGAATTGGGTTGTGCTGCCGCTCACGCCCATTAAGATAAATCTGGAAAGGATGATGAGAGGGGGCAATAAGTTTGCATGGGATCCGAATGAGGACCAGTGGTATGCGCTGGTGCCGAGAAAGGGGGCAGAGAGTGAGGATATTATCTGGTTCCGGGCGGACAACGGTATGTGGCCTGGGTGTGGCTAGGCTGCGAACCGGAGTAGTTGCTGACAGGACTAGGTTTCCATGGCCATGTCGCCGGATGTTACGAGCTGCCATCTGGGAAGGTGGTGTTCGATTTGACGGTGGCCGACGGCAATGTCTTCTTCTTCTTCCCTCCTGACGGTAACATCACATCCTCCGAAGGGGTCGCCAAGCGTAACCAGCTCTCCTCGCCAACGGTGCGCTGGGTCTTTGACCCTAAGGCGAAGAAGTCGGCCATCCGAACCCCGGAAGCAGGCGACGCGGACGTCTGGGTGGCGGATGAGCGTGTGAAGCCTCATCTGACGTGGCTTACCAATGGAGAGTTCTCTCGCATCGATGACCGCTACACCTCCAAGCCCTACCGTCACTTCTGGCAAGCCGTTGTCGATCCAAGCAGACCGTACGACTTTGCTAAGTGCGGTCCTCCTGCAGGCGGGCTGTTCAACTGCCTGGGCCACTACACGTGGTCAAAGGAGCATTACCAAACCAATGACTCGAATCAAACCGAGGAAAATGCAGACGCTGGAGAAAAGGAGAAGTTTGGACTCGAGGACGTCTACTTTCCCGGCCCGACCATGACCTTCCAGGAACCAACCTTCATTCCGCGTGAGGGCGGTGCCGAGGGCGAGGGGTACCTGATCGCGCTGCTGAATCATCTGGACGAGCTGCGCAATGATGTTGTCATCTTTGATGCGCAAAATCTCAGCAAGGGGCCCTTGGCAGTGATCCATCTGCCGTTGAAGCTCAAGTTGGGCTTGCACGGCAACTGGGTCGATCACCGCGACATCGAGGCGTGGCAGGCGCGGAGGGCGGAGAATGGCGACGTTGGGCCGGTGAAAGTGGCAACGGAGCCGCTTCCATGGCAGAAGAAGCTGGCTGGACAGACTGAAACAAATGGGACAAATGGAGTGTGAGCCCCGATTCAGGTTATCCGTGCATTGTCAGATACAGCTTCTGTAGGTCCAGGTCGGAATGGATCTCCGAGCCATTTTTTAGTATCAAATAGCGGTCTCATATTCATCAAATTGTTTCCTTGGTTACTGTCAAGCACATCTCGTTTGGCCCAACTTCCACAATTCAACATTGGTTTGTTTTTTTTTTTGCGTGATTTCCGTGATAGGCAATACACCTCATCTCCCTTCACTTTGACCTTCTTGTATTGTTTTTACCTTTGCCATTCTTTCATTCTTTCTTCTTCTTCCTCTTCGATTTTGAATTTATCTTTCTCCTCCTCTTATATTTCATCTTTGCACTCCATCTTTCTTTCTCTTTTTTGATTTCTTACGTTTCCTTCTTGATCCAATTCATGTTCACTGCCCAGCCATGTGCCTCGCTAACGAACAAATCAGATAGGATTGTCCCACTCACAGCGAGTACTGTAAAGGTTCTTCCTTATCACCGATCTTGTTCCTCTTCTTCAATGCAGCGGACCTGGTACAACGACGAATCAAGAGTCATGGTGGAGCGATAGCCTTCGTGGACGACTTCACAGCGTGGGTCACAGGACCTACGGCGCAGAGCAACCGGGAAAGCATTGTAGCCATCATCAAGAACGCCCTAGATTGGGAGAGAAGGAGCGGTGCGACATTCAACATAGAGAAGACGGGAATCATACACTTCACTCGTAAGACCTACAAGACCGACACACAACCATTCATGATCAAGGGGCAGACTGTCGAGCCCCAGAACCATGTCAAGATCCTAGGAGTGGTTATGGATGCGAAACTAAAGTATAAAGAACACATTTGGAAGGCTGCGTCCAGGGGATTGGAGGCAGGAATGGAATTACGACACCTCCGAGGACTGTCTACATCAACGGCACGGCAGTTGTTTACATCCACAGTCGTCCCGGTGGTGGACTACGCCTCCAATGTGTGGATGCACGCATACAAAGACAAACACCGCTCGCCACTCTACCAGGTGGCAGACGCACTTCAAGGCATAGCAATGGATAAGTTGGAAACCATCAACCTGTTCATATTGATACCTTGGGAGAACCGCGTACAAACCATCACAAACGAGTTGACGACAACACAGCGGAATGCCAAATATGATGTACGCATCGCCGTGAGCAGCTCGGCGCGAAACGACTTGGTGGGAGTTGGCGGAGCTGCGATGCTGCCGCCGCCCGTGTACGGCAGCCCAAAGCTGGGGACCTTCTCCTCTACGCTGGGTCCGAGATCAGAACAGAACCCATACTCCGGGGAGCTGGCAGCGATGGAACGAGCGTTAGGCACTCTGCCAACGCTTACGTCTAGCCGTATCGAGATTTCAACACGCAATAAAGCAGCTGTTCTCACGCTCCGGCAGCCTAGACAGCAGTCTGGGCAACACCACATCTGCCACATCTACGAGTCAATCAGAGCACTACGCAGGAACGGGAACACAGTAACAATACGGTGGCTCCCTGCGGGCGAAGAGGACAAGCTTTGGGAAATCGCTAAGAAGAATGCCAAACATGCCCACTAGACAGGGTGCCACTCCGCAGACGCAAACGCCCAGGACACGCTCAACAACGTTCAACGTAGCATGGCCCAAGAGAAGCATCACCAATCACCTGCCAGACAAAGTCGGAGCTCATTCCAAGCGAGTCGACGCAGCACTACCAGGCAAACACACCCGACTGCTGTACGACCACCTGTCACGAAAGGAGGCTGGCGTGCTCGCTCAGCTCAGAACAGGGATGGCAAGGCTCAACGGTTACCTCCATCGGATTGGAGCAGCACCGGCAGATCAGTGCGTATGCGGGCAAGCCACAGAGACAGTAGACCACTTCCTCTTCCGATGCAGAAAATGGACGGCATACCGAACGGAGATGCTCGAATGCACGGACACCCACAGAAGCAACATTTCGTTCTACCTAGGAGGGAAATCGCCATCGGATAAGAAAGACTGGACTCCCAACATGGCAGCCGTTCGGGCAACCATACGGTTCGCAATGGCCACAGGGCGCCTTGACACGAACCAACCGCAAGCCGACTAAACCACCCAACCCACCACAACACACCCAACCCACACCCCTCACCTCGTGCCACGGACAGCAGGCACCGCTTCAGCCGCCGAAGATAGGACGTTGAACACTTGGAGAATCGCCTTTAAGCCAGTCTACTAACAACCCTACTAACCCACGAGAATCCGCAGAGGAATTGTATAAGAGAGGACATGAACTAGAATGAGCTTTGCATGGGCTTCGACGAGATCAGGACATATCTTGGGAAATGTATAGTCAGATTGTAATAGCTGCCCTTTCGGGTTACCCGCCGGGTGTCAATAAATTGTATTGTATTGTATTCTACTGTAACAAATATGCCTCCGGGGTCTTTTACCAGCGGCGGTAACTACAGCCTCGCTTCCCTGAAGTTCTCCTGTGCCCAATTCTGCCCGGCTAACATATCTCGTTTGTTTTCCAGTTCAGCCACTAGAAGTAGTTCTCAAGGTAGAGCCTTGGCTCCGTAACTCCCATGTCTAAGGTATGTAGTAAGTCCTAATAGCCACGCCCGGTGGCGCTCGGAACGAGGACGCCACTCAGAAACGTGTTCTTCGGCCAATCGCCACCATACAAGCAAACAAATAAGTTAGCGTTACTACCCTGGCATAACGATGTGATATATGAGGGGATGAATATTGGTGATACGTACACCGTGTACAGATGTTACCAAGCGGCCGGTCCAGGTCTGTGCGGCCATTCGGCGGCTTGCGGTTTGGTGTCGAGAGAAAGACTTCCGGAGATGGTGGTTAAGGACTACAGAGCTGCCTACGTCGCCCAATGCTCCATTGCCAGCGCCTTCTACCTAAGGGCGACTATGTTGCCATTGCGAGAGGCGCTCATGATGCAGTGGTTTCAATTAAACGGGATCATATGCTTCGAATAGGTGTAGCAGACAGAAAGTATTTCGCGTGTAACGGTCCCAGGAGTATATTGCAACTAGCTGGTGACGACTCTACGAGTTTGTCTCGAATGGAGAGAGAAGAAGAAAAAGAGTGAAACACTATGCAAGATACCTGCCGTCTTATCCTCCACATCCTTGGCCTGTGCGCCGATATCGAACAAGATAGAAGTCCACCGAATCTCGAGTCTTGGCCGAGAGTTTGCCGAGGCCTTTACGGGCCAAGCCCGTTACAAGCTGTTGAAGGTCCGGCACGCCCTAGGGCACAGCGATGTAGGAATAATAATATATATAGAAGCGGCAAAATGGATTCAGTAAGTTCTTGTTCTCTGGAATGTAGACCTTTATAGACTAACACCTGTAGATGTGACGGGCACCACCCAAGGTCTGGTCAGCTCGCACATACAAGATCGATATTGCTACAACGAGAGCAAGAGTTAGATGACAGGAATGGGCGTGCCACCAGACCTTAAGTACTGGAGCAGAGGCCTATGCGTAAGCATGACCATAGACGTATGATCAGACCCCATGACGTATGCATAACCGCAAGCATATGACATAACCTTGAGAACAGGAACGGGGAATCACGTGACAGTAGATTCCGTGAGATCCTTGAGAGAAAGGTAAATTCAAACGACCTGCTTGAATCGTGCCACGCTGTGACGAATCTCAAGCCCCAACTTCTGAAAGGGACTCCTGAAGGTTATAGCTTTGACAACGGGGTGAGGTTCGGTGAAGCCAAAGGGTTCACAACAAGCAATGTCCAAAGCTACTGACAATCTTGCGCTTGAGTTGCTTACTAGGGAGGCTACAGTGATGCCCGTAGGCCTAAAGATCGTAGACTATATACAGCTTCCTCCCCCAAATACCTCCATACCTGCGATCACTGCGATTACCTTCTTGGCGGTGATCCTGGTGAGCCGCTCACCGCGCTCACTTTCTTGGCGGTGATCCCTCTTGCAGGCCCCACCTCAGCTTTCCCCTGGTGTTACGCCTCTTCATTGGCTTCCGTTGCCCCACCAGGCCTCGATATATGGTTGGTTCGTGACACACGCCCCTACGTTTAATTCTTATCTGCTCTAGAGATGTAGAAACTACCGAATCACGAAGACATTGTCCATTACCACCTACTGGAAGGTTCTATGTATATGTTACTGCGACAGAACTTCGAAGTAGATGGACGGCGGGGTCTTATATGACATTGGGAATGTAAGATTCGCCAGTATCTGCTGGAAGACCCACAGCCACGATTCCACGGTAATACGCTTTTATGGGAGCCTTTTAAACAGTGGACTTTTCGAGAGCTTAGGACCAGCCCAGAATTTGTCAATTGAGTTCTCTTGCCTCCCTCTAGTTACCTGGGTATCTCCCAAGCCTCATGTAACAGCCGTGTATTACCCCTGACCAGGGTACGACACCGGCAACCCAGTTTCCGAGTTTCAAGTGCCATCACTTCCAGAGTCCAAGCATGTTTCCGCGTATGGAATGGTGCTCCAGTTGGTTCGACTGCCAGCGGGTTGTCATTCTGACGTGACATGGAGGCCTGGGTTGACGCAGCCTGGCTCAAGTGAGGCTGCTGAGGCGGGCAATCACGGGACATGCGCGTTCGCTTCCTCTGCGGCGAAGGGCAGGCAGCCTCACAGAATACTCGCTGACATCAACTAACCGCATTGTAACGGCTCTGCCTCAGCTAACTGTTGCACCTTGTGCTGTTGAATCATGTGCCTTCTATAATTCTTTGCAATTCTCATCTTCTTTGCGGTCAGTAATGGCATGGAGTCGATCTTTGGGCCACAATTGCAGAATTGCACGAAAGCTGGCTGCCATTCACCCCGCCTCGCGGTGGCGAGCTCAGCCAATGGCGTTCGTAACGCGTAATCTCGTCCCCTTCCCGAACCTCATTTACGCAGCATATTGGATTGCGTCACTCGAGACGATGGGCAGACTACTACGGCGGCGAAAGAAGGGCAAGGCTGCGCCCAATCTGCCGCAAGAAACGAGCCGAAATCCGATCCCGGCCAATCCTTCACACGCCAACACGGACCCGGATCCGTCCGAGAGCCCCCCGGTCCCCTCTTTCCTGGACAGAGTGAAGGTTCTGCGCGACTGCCCCGACGCCACGGTTGACATCTGCTTTGTCCACGGTCTGACCGGGGACCGGGAGAGCACATGGACTGCCGACGGGCAGTCCGCACCTTGGCCGAAGACCCTCCTCCCGCCGAAGCTCAGTAGAGCTCGCATCCTCACGTATGGCTACGACGCATATATCGTGCGAAAGGGGGTTGCAGGGTCAAACCGGCTGATCGACCATGCTGCGAACCTTCTGCACGATTTAACCACAGACAGAAGCAGCAGCGACGCATCATCTCGTCCTCTAATCTTCGTCACCCACAGCCTCGGCGGCCTTTTCTGCAAGAAGGCCGTCCTACTCTCGCGAAACAACCCAGAAGCCCATCTCCGCAGCATCTTCGATTGCATCAAAGGCATATTATTCATGGGCATCCCTCACAAGGGCTCTTGGATGGCGGATTGGGCCAAGATTCCGGCGTCGATTGTCGGCCTTGTCAAGTCTGCCAACAAGTCGCTGCTAGGTATCTTGGAGACAGACGATCAGCTCCTCGAGTCCACCCAAGTCGAGTTCTGGTCGATGGTACGAGGCCTGCGGGAAGGCGGCAGGGGTTTGGAGGTTACCTGCTTCTTTGAGGAACTGCCTTTGCCTGGGGTCGGGAAAGCTGTGTCCAAGGAATCGGCCACCCTTGAAGGTTATCCTCCACCATTCACGCCGACCGCAGAGACATGGTCAAGTTTGCTTGCTCTTTTTGGTCCCTGACTTAGGTCAGCAGGGCAAAGACACACGGCGCTGAATTGTGCTGAAGATTTGACCGTAGCAGCAGGCACGGTGTAAGCGCCAAGAGGCCCAAAACGGGGGGGTGTGTGTGTGTGTGTAGCCGGGAGGGGACGCGTTGCTGTACGCAGTGGGTACTCAGTGGCGAGGCCTGCCGATTTTGCTAGGGGCTGAGAGCATCTTTACGATATTCATATTCTTTTTATTTCTAAAATTCGGCGGAGGGTTAAGTCGTGGCAGATGGCTGGTGCGGCGCGCCGTACTCCAGACGTCATCGACACGATGGGAGGCGATTTGGAGGTCCCGGGAGCGGGTCATCGCCGCCCTCAGCGCAAGAGGGTGAAAACGACGAGGGCACTGGAGTCAATGCGACAACAAGACGATATGGATTGGGAAGGGGAAAATAGCAGTGAGAAAGGCTGGGAAACGACAAGAATGCCACAATTCGCGCTGCAGCCGCCGACGACGCGAGCGAGGAAGTCCGGGCCACCGAGCAACGTGCGGATCATGACTTTAACACGAAGCTGGCCATCATCAAGGCAGTATTCCAGCTCGAATTTCAAAACTCAAGGACCAGATGGCAGAGGACGTCGCCAAAATGACGGCCCAGTTAACCCAAGAGCTCTCGCAAGCGCGAGAGAATCTCAATCAAGCTCGCAGCGAGCTGGAGCACACTAGGCTCCAGCTACACGCCATGACGATGGCCCAAGGAGCCAGATCGAGTTAGCTAGCGTACGCGGACGTCGCACGGCGTACCCCGCCGGTCAGCGTTCCTGCCCCGGCCTCCTCCACCGGTCAGCGTTCCTGCCCCGGCCTCCTCCACCGGTCGGGCAGCAACTCCAGAACCGACTTTCTGTACAGTGGATGTATCAAGGGTACCGGAGGAGCATGCTGGTGAAGCTACACCAGTGGCTCTTCGCAAGCTCGTTGAGAAGGAGATGCAAGCACCCGGCGACCAGTCTAGTTGGCGGTGTGCTGCGGTCACCAGGGATGGAGGAACTGCCAACCGCCTTAGGGTTGTGGGCAAGAACAAGGAGGAGCTGAAAAAGACAAGGATATCCTCGAAGCCAAGAAGACGCCAGGGGCAAGAGTCCTTCGGGACCAGCTGTACCCAGTCAAAGTTGGCAACATCAGCCGTACGGCTGTCATCGACCACGGAGGCAAGGTCCTCCTTGGGGCCGCAGAAGTCCTTGGTCAGGAGAACGACGTGCAAGTTGCCAAGTTAGCCTGGTTAAGTCGAAAGGACAGCGCAAAAGGATACGGATCGATGGTGGCAGGGTTCTGCATCTATCCACTTCTACCCACGCGACCCTTGAAGTAGATAGAATAGATGGATTAGTCAGCTGGACTGAGATAGAGTTGATAGAATAGAGAGCTATTCTATCAACGTAGATACCATTCACGTAGATTGTTCACGGCTTAGCGGATGAAATATGTTCCGATAACAGGACGCTCACGACAGCCGAACACTTCTACCTAGCCACAAGCCGGTCACCTCATGCTATGCCACCTTCAATTTGAAGTAACATTTCATCCTCAAGCGCCTCAATGCCTGCACTCGGAGGGCGGCCGATTTCGTTATAATCATCCATCAATCCGGCTTTCACCCACGATCCAATCGTCTGGGCGGCAGAGATCACTTCAGTCCCGAGCCGTGTCTGTCGTGTCGTTAGCATGCAGCCAACAGCGGAAAATATTCTTGCACACTCGGCTGCCATCGGCGGGACGTTGAGCACGTCAAAGGCCATCTTTACCAATCGGGAATATTCGAATCGGCGGTCCACCCAGTACTTGATGGGGTCGGCCTTTGAGGTAAGGTATCTCCCCTCGATTGAAAGAAGCCAACGATCCAGTTCCTTAATTCTTCACGCCCCTTCACCACAAGGGGCGAATGTATAGGCGTTGTGTGTTACATGTTTAGTTGTTCCGGTGAGGGATACACAGAGCGTTTGGCATGTTCCTCATCTACTCGTTGACTGCCTCGGAACTAAGAGCTATCTGCTAGTGTCTTATGAATACGGGACATCAGATTATCTACTGACAGCTCTCTTTCTTCCAGCACTTACATCATTCAACACTAGCCAGGGGTGTTGTGATGGCAGAGCCAGGCACGCGGGAAGGTCACATGTGACCTGTCACATGACCAAGCCCGGCCAGCATGGGGTGGGATACAGCGGAAGAGGTCGGAATGGCACTTCCGTAGAGGGCTTAGGGGGCAGTGGTGGCTAGGGCGGCCTCGAGGAGGCTGTGCGAGGTAAAGTGCCCAGATATTAGTAATCACTTGGCAATCTACCCACTTTGAATCTACGTAGATGAGGTTCGGGTAGAGTGGATAGAAGCTTGGCAACGGGCAGCATAGAGTGGATAGAAAGCACTGCTTTCTATCTACTAGTAGATTCAAAATCTACTTAGGTAGATAGATGCAGAACCCTGCATGCGACTCCAGGACCGCGTGGTCTTGGTCGCATCAGTCTACGTACCATACGGAGATGCCAGAGCATTTGAAAGACATATGCGAGGTTATATACGAGGTGGTGGCGAGGGCGAGGCGGGGAACAGGAACGACGGCCGACGTGGCGATCGTGGGTGATTTCAACCGCTATGACCAACTGTGGGGAGGAGACGACGTCGCCTTCGAGAGACAAGGAGAGGCCGATCCAATCATTGACCTGGTGAATGAACTTGGTCTGAGCAGTCTACTCCTGAGGGGCACGACTACATGGCAAGCTGGTGGATACGACTCAATTAATCGACATGGTCCTGGCCTCAGAGGAGCTGAGGGAAGCCACGGTTAAGTACGGAGTATATGGGACAGACCACAGGTCGGATCATCGTACGATCGAAACAGTCTTCGACATTTCGGTCCCCGTGCCGAAGCACCAGGAGCGGCTGCTCTTAAGAGACGCACCATGAAAAGAGATCAGAACCCGAATTGCAACTATACTAGGAACTGTCCCGACGACGGAGGGGACGGTGCGACAGAGAACGGACCGACTCATGTCGGCTGTCTTGGAGACGGTCCATGCCCTCACACCAAAAGCGCGGCCCTCGCTATACGCAAAGCGATGGTGGACCACAGACCCAACGCAGCTACGCCGCATCCTGTTGGAACGTGAACCCTGATTCAGGGGTGCCAAGACGGACCCACATGTGGGTGGTGATAGACACCCTGGAGGCTGTCTGGAAAATCGGACAGTTGAGAACACAGAACACAATCAACATCAGGAACAACCAAAAAATTGACATCCTCGTGACACTCTGCGACCACTGACCATTTTTTCCCTTCGTTTGCCTCGTAGCGGTTCCGACACATCCACACATATTGGAGGAACCGTGCTCGTGCAGAACGCCGGGCGGGATGGAGGACAGCTGAACTAGAGGGCTTGGCGAGGGGAGCTGTAAAGCAGTATTTCAATGCCATCCGGCAACAAAAGAAAAAGCATTGGAATGATTTTCTTGCAGACAACAACAATATTTGGAAGCCCTCGAAGTACCTTAGCTCTGGGGAAGACTATCACGGGTGGTGACAGGCAATACTAGGTGATCTGGTAGTATTGCTAAGATCGCACAAGGAACCAGAACTCTGTGGGCTGTGCGCAGCCGTGGGAAAACCTGCAGGGCAAGGAGGGGCTGCGCACTGACCAAGAGGGTGGCAACGCAAGACCCACTTCAGTGAGCTTGCCTCATCTACGGATGTAATCTACATGGAATGCAACCCTAACCCTGGCACGGGCATTGCCCGTGAAAGGGTCCGATCCATCACCAAGGCGGATGGGACAGCTACGACCAGTCTTTCACACCACGGCGGGCTCATTTCAAATGACTGCAAGAGAAGTACATTACGCGTGGACAGGCATGTTGAATGCTAACCAAAAAGAGATGTTTTGACTTGTGCTCATCGAATCCATTGAAACCAGTCCCCCACTCGAACTCGCCCTCCTCCCGCTACCACATGCCGGTACGATTAATCCTGACAGACCGACCAACCCAGGTGAAGCTGCTGATAATCAAGCGAAAAAGGGGACTCATCATACGCACTGCCCGAAACCGAGGTGCTGGTGGCGGTCAACTTGACCCGGGTGCGAATCTGCACGTAGGCCTCCTCTAAGCCACAGTGGGAGGCGGTTCTCGATTCGGTCGGAATGGTATCGGTGGACGTGTATTCCCCAACCAGCTCACTGGTGGACCTCACTCGGGTTACGGTGCTGCCGTCGGCTGCTCCGGGGCTGGAGATGAGGTATTTCGTCTCGATGGTGGCGTTCATCCCGGCGTCCAGCCTGGCCTGTCCACGGTAGGTTACGCCCACAATCTCGAATTTGCTGCCGAGCGGGTAGCCGAGTCGGAGGTAGAGGATGCAGTTCTTGTACCTCTCTGCGACGGGATAGCTGGGACCGTAGTACGTCTGGAAAAGGTCGAAGCCGAAGGTGATGATCGATCCGTTGCGGTTGATGGTCGACGACACGCTGCCTGCGCTGCAGGCGGTGCCTGCGTAGGAGAATGAAGTCAGGGTGACCTTACTCTGTCGGGGTAGAATGGTCGCCGAGCTCGCTAAGGGAGAGACCACGGCTAGTAACAGAATGAGAGCTGGCAAGAGTGGGAAACCCATAATTCTGATGAGAGATGCTGAACAAGCCTTAAGGGAGGCCAGTGTGTGAGCTGATGAGGTAAGGAGAATGAAGAATCGGCGAGCAAAACCAGGCGTTCAATCCATGGAATTCCCTGGGACCTAACCTACCTACGGGACTTTGATTATTGCATGTGTCCCCCGGTCTACCGAGTTTATCTCCCGAACTTTTCCTTCTATAGACCGGAGCGTTACACGCGATAGACGAATCTGGTACCATCCCGAGTCGCAACCTAAATATACTCAGTCGGGATTTCATAGAATTGAATGTATATTAGACTGCATTCTTGGCGGCCATTCACATCCCCTAAAATAGAGGGAGAGTATCCAACATCTCCCGGGAGCAGAGAAAGCCCAAATAGTGGCCTTTTACATCAGTATGTTCGTCGATCCAAGGACCAATACATGTATCTATTGGGGCGCCCACAGGCACTTGACTTCATCGGAATCTCCATGATCCCTTTGAGCAACCTACGGTAGGTAGGCATCCTACTCAACGTCAGGGGCGTCGACCGAGATTACACAAATGATACGTGCGATACACTGCAACTCACCATGTCCGGAGTAACTCCCAAGCTTAACTATGGCCTTTAAGAACGGCAATTTCGGGTTGGAGAGACGCTCGCGTCAGCGTCGGGCGATAGGACCGTCAAGCTGTGGGACGCGGCAACGGGCGCCTGCACGGCGACGCTTGAGATAGGCAGGACTGTCGCGCATCTCGTGTTTGACAAAAGGCAATTGATGGATGGATGGATGGAATTTATTTCGCCCGGAGGCACGAAGCCTAAAGGGCCTTGGCACGCTAACTACATCCCAGTCGTTGACGCTCAACCATCAACTCGTACAAGCCCTCTACTCTCTCCCCTTTTCTCACACCACCTGTTGCCTCTTGACTTAGTTTAGCAGATCGACTGGGAGGCTGCATTCTCCAAGTGTTCAGCGTCCTATCTTCAGCAGCTAAAGCGGGATCTGCTGGTTGTGGCTGTGTAGTGTTAGTGGAGCTCCGCTACTGTGATTGTCGTAATCTTCGTCGTTCC